TTATATGAAGGGACCATAATTGACTTTTCGGTTGAGAAACCTAATTCAACAGAGTGGCCAGGGAAAGACAGAGTTCATTTTGCTCTATTATCAGATCAATGTTCAAATAATATTTTAGGATTATTTATTTTCTTCAATATGAGAAAAATGTCAAGATTTATTTCTTGTGTTTCTGAAATGTCAGAGGACATTGACCTGAGCTGGGGGAACTCTCAGTACCTGTTGTTTTACAGTTTTGAGCCAAAGGATTATGACAAAGCACTGAGCAGGGATTGTGAATGGTGTCCTCTCGTGCTCAGTGGACTCAGGTGGGAGGGTGAAGGAATCTGGGTTCTTGCTTCTCTGGTGTTCTCTAGATCAGAGATGGCAAACACGAGGCCCACTGGCCGAATCCGGCCCTCCACCTTGTTTCTGCCTGGCGGCAGCGCTGACCTCTCACTTTAACTGTTAAAGGAGTGGTTACATTTATACAGTCCTAAAATTACATTTGGCCCTTTGAAGGCAACTGTGACACCGCTGTGGCCCCCAGTGAAAGTGAGTTTGACACCCCTGCTCTAGACTAATTGGAGGGATGAGTGACATCAGTAGGAATGAAGTCCACATAAGCGGGATAGGTAGAGGAAGGGTAGGCATAGGAAGGGTAAGTGAATCAAACTAGATATGAGACAAGGCTTGCTAAAGAATGAAGATAGGAAGACACCATAGCTTGTGAGGAAGCAAGAACAAAGGACTCTAGGAGGGCTGGTGAGGGATGTGGCTTCAAGTAGAAGATGCCTGTGATGAGGAGTAGGCTGGGGTAAGAAGCATTCATTCATCACTTCAGGCAGTCCCTCACATTCAGCAGCCACTTTGTGAGCACCTCGAAGTTGCAGGTGCTGTGCCAGGACCTGGAGATGTACATGTAGGCTGGCAGGGTCCTTACTCTGAAGTTCTCTGTCTGGCGGGTGAGACAAGCATGTGGTCCATCTGATGAGGGGACAGGGCAGAAAGAAGGCTTGCACAGGCTCTACTGATGACATGTGATTACTTTTAAAATGACTTCAAACTGTTGCCAGCCTTACACTGGCATTGGGAAGCAGCCTGGAGGTGGACAGAGCTGGTAGCTGGGCAGAGGGCGGGGAGTGAGGGGACCTGGGTGTGGGGACACTCAGGTGACTCCTTAGGTCCGGTTAAGTCAGACCATTTCTGCTCTGGGTTAGAAGCTAATGTACAGTATAAGAGCAAAGTGTGGGGACAGTATCAGCTGACTTAGGTTATATCCATATTCTTGCATGCAATTAAAAAAAATAAACTTAAAGGTCAAAGTAAAAAGTTAGTGACTTTCCCAGGGTACAAAGTACGAACATTGTGGAGTTTGTTTCATGAGAGTAAATGTAAGACTAGTCATCATACTGCCGTAGTAATACAGTGTCAGAGCTGTGCTTGTCAAACGCTAGTGTTCATTGGAATCTCCTAGGGCTCTTGTTAAAATGCAGGTTTCTTCCCAGTCCGTAGGTCTGGGGTACAGCCTGAGATCCTCCAAATCTAATGAGTTCCCAGTGGCTGCTGCTGCTGCTGCTGGGTCCTGGGCTATGTTTTGACTGATAAGGGTTTGAGTGGGGTACCTGTCCTTGGGGCACAGAACTTTTTGAGAAACAGGAAGGCTTCCTCAGGACAGTGAACCTGTCGCCACCGCCTTCCCGATCACCACACTTGAGTCATGCAGCATCAAGGAGGCGGTGAATGTTTTGAAACCCACCGAGCATGTTCAGTTTTGATCTCAGAAGTGCTCATTGAAAGACACTCTCATATTACGTCATGGTCTTTCAGTCAGTAGCTTTCCTAGTATTTTTATAGAGTGGATATTAATTTAGAAGTAGGAAAGTACTTTTGTGGTTACCTACAGCTTAGACTAAATGGTCGCGTAGAGGGCCCTTGTACCTCCAAAGGTATAAGGCCCTGGACCTGTGGCATTACGTAACCTCGGGCTTCTGACACAGTGGCAGGGCAGGCGTGGTAGCTGCTGAATTGCTTCATTTTATAAACAAGAATTGACAGGGCCACTTCTAATCTTAGATCCCTGGATAATTCTGTGCTCCCTCCGCCCCACCCCCCAGGTACTTGTTGATATTAGTGGTTTTCAAATGAGAGTTCTAGGCAAGTTAGCGAGCGACTGAGAAATAACTCACAAGGAATGGGAGGAGTCCAGATGGGACAGTCCGGGGTATTAAACTCATTCACACAGTTTTCTTCACCGGCGGGGTATATACTCTAGGAGGCAGTTCGGATGCTTCAGGAAAGGGACCGATTGGTGGCGTATTTGTTTTGTGGGCCACAAGAACACGGGATTTCCCTGAGGCACGTCTCACTTTCGGGCCCAAGGCCTGGAGGGTGGGAGTGGAAGTGCCTTGCGTGTGGGCAGATTCCACGTGGCTCGTCTTCACTCTGGCTGGGAAAAGTCGAATGGGTGCTGGTGACTCTGCTGTGGTTTTTGAATGGTGTCGACTGCAACGTGCTCTTTTGGTTTATGTGTTTTGTCTGTTCATCTTGAGGTGGTCAGGATGCTACCAGCACCTGGTTCCTCTACCCCTGAATTATTTTGAAGTAAATCCCGAGCATCGTATCATTTAATTTGTAAGTATTTTAGTATGTATCTCTAAAAGGTTAAGACAGAAAATCATCATGATACTGTTATCACATTGAAAATAGTAATAATAATTCCTTAATATCATCAAATACCTAGTCATTGTTAACATTTCTCTACATATAATTTCAAAAAGTCTTTTCTGTTTGAGATCCAATTGGTTACATCTTTTAAGTCTATTTTAATAGGTTACTCTTCCATCTTTATATTCCTAGCAATTTGTTGTTACCGTCACTGAGTAAATCTGCTCATTTATCTGCCGGCCTTCCCAGACGCTGGACGGTGCCGACTGCCTCCCTGCGCTCTTGGCGGTGTTCCCTTGCCCCTGCGGTCCCGGTGGTTCAGCAGGCCTGGACTCCGAGGACAGGACGGCCGTGGCAGGGCTGTTGGCCCTGCAGTTAGGACGTGCCCATGTCTGACTGTGTCCTGGAGGCTGGAGTTAGCAACCCTTAATGGTGACTCTTTAGAGACATTAATTCACCATGGTTTGCAAAATGTCTGTATTCTAATTCTTGCATTCCATCTTCATTTCTTAGCTGGAATACCTTGGAAAGAGAAACTTCCCTTCAACAACTGTGACAGTTGTTTGGCTACTCTGGATTGCAGATTGTTTAGGGAACGCAGGGGATACGCTTGAATTTTTTTCCCCCTGTATCTAATAGCGTTCAAAATAATGAGGTGATTCTCTTGATCCTCTAAAGGAGACCATTCCGTTTCTATTTTTCAGATACGAGTTCATAAACCTATGCGTATTCTATCTATTTCTCTAACAGTTATTATTCTTTTTGCTGCTCAACTTTGGCCAGTAGGAACTTACTCAGGCTGACTCTTGAGTCCTTTTGACATGGCCTTTGCGTCAGTTGTTTCTTCCTGTGTAACAAGTTACTCCCAGTGTGGGGGCTTGAAACACTGGTTATTATCTCACAGTTTCTGTGGGTCGAGGGCCTTGTCTCTCAAGGCTGCGGGCAGCCTGCTCCACAGCCAGGGCCTGGTGTGGCTGCCTGTTCACCGAGTGGCAGGCCTCCGTTCCTCAGTACAGGGGCAGCTGGCTTTCCTCATTGCCACGGCCCTCTCTCTCCATCAGTTTTAAATAAAGTTCATGCTAGTTTTTTCTCATTCAGATTTAGGATTATAGAGCTTTTACTTAATCTCATAAATTTTATGCTTGTATCTCTTTTCAACCAAAAACTTTCATTCTCAGTAGCACCTGCATAATTACTCATGTATTATCCCACAGTACACAAACGGACATCTCCCAATGATGATGCCTCCTTTACCACCAAAAGCATGATTACGGAAAATGCTGTGAGATTTCTTTAGAGTTATTTGTCTCCTCACACTCTGTTCCATCACATTGTACAGTCAGATTCTTCCATGCAGTCATAATTGAAATGGTTTCCTACTGTGCAGTACATAGTTAGGTTTATTTGCTTCAACTTAAAAGTTTGCATTTTAGATTCTTTTAATACATAATTTGGAGAAGCATTTTTTTTTAGTCTGTTGATATCTTGCTTCCAGGCATATCCTGTTTAGATCAAATGAACTCTAATATACTCTTACAAAATTAAAAAAAAATTTACATAGCTTTGTTTCATTTTGTGTAAATTATTTTCATCATTCTAAAGGTGATTTACAGAATAAGGTATTTATTTTTTAGAAATCTAGGTTCCAGCCCTGTTTGTTCTACTACATTTTCTTCCTTTTCCAATGGTAGCTTTTTGAAAAGTGCCAGGTTATCCTTCTTATCTTTGAATGAATGGTAGCATTCTTGGATACCTTTTTCCACCTTGCATTCCCCACTTAACAATAGATCCTAGCTTCCACTCCATGGAGGTGGGTAGAGATCTCTACACTCTGTTGTGTAGACATGGTCATTTGTTTTAGGGAATGACACTTTTTTAGGAGTTCTCTTGACTTCCTGTTCTGAATAGAGATGGAAGGAGGATGAGAGGAGGTGTCGGTGCCCCTGCTACTTCCCGAAGCAGCACCTGGTTGTGACCACTAGGTCCACTTTTTCTCTTTGCTCTCATCCTGGCTGGAGGGATAAAGTGTCTTTCTTTTTATAATCAGCTGAATGGGGCTGCTTTTCTCATGATTTACAGCCCTCCAAAGTTTCTGTTACTTCATCTACGTTCCTTTTGACTTACAGTTAGAAATTTGTCCAGATTTTGACAACATGTGATTTGTCAGTTTTTGATAGTGCCAGCTATTTTATGTGTCTTCTTGTTTATATTAGTAAGGATTTGGCAATAGTGGTATCAGGGATTGTACTTCAGATGCCATTTAGAAACAAACTCCCATATGTAAAAAGTAAGAAAGAATTCTTTTTGTAACGATCTTTTTTTCTCCTAACCGAACTGAATTATTTATGTTGCAGGGAAAAGGACTTGGAAGCCAAATTCATTATTCAAATGGAGAAAAGCAAAACAGTAATCACAAACTTAAAGGCAAGTAGTAACCTGGTCTCGTTCCCCTTCTGTGAGCCCGGCGTTCATTGCAGTGACTTGCAGCCGCTTCTGCCCTTTGGCATTCCTTTCTCAGTTCAGTTTGCCCTGTCAGCTGGCTCTTGGATTGGGGTCAGTCATCAAACAAGGGGGTTGAGCTACCGTTTCCTCTTCTATCCCTGGTTTCGTTTGGTCTGAAAGCCAGATCCAAGCTGTAGCACTGGTAGTAAGCTCACTGGCTTAGTCTAGACCCAGGCATTTTTATCCTGTATCCTGTGTCCTTCGCCTGGACACTGACTGCATTTTGTGAATTACTAAATAAGCTTTGGCCCTATTTATTTTTAGTAAAAATAATGATGTTTATAAACTTTGAAAGAGGTGCTAGTATCATTAAAAATTCAAGGGATAAAAGATAAAAACACTGAATTTTTTTTTGGAAGAAAAATTGAAAAAAAATTTTCTAGGTTGGCAAGTTCTTTCTTTTGCACTTAAAATACTCTGTTATTTTCTTTGATCAGTGAATTGTTAGGTCCCTGAATCCTTTTTACCTAGGGAGGAGATAAGGGTGTAAAATTAATAATAAAGACATCACATGCTTTATGGATTCATCCCCTTTTTCCTTAAATATTTGTCACGAACTTACAGGTTTGAATTTCTGAGGCCTGCTGCTGCTTGGTCAAGTGCGGGTCAGTCTCAGGTTGGATTTCTCTTAATTTGTGGCTCAAGGGACTGGGCACTTTGAAATCTAATTTCACAGTGGTGCAGCTTGATCTCCAGTGATAGAAGGTGGGGACGGCCTGCATCTTCCAGTTGGGTGGTGCCCTAGATAATCCGATAGGCCTCCTTTGAGGCTCTGCTGTCCCTTAGCCTGAGGCATTCTCCAGTGGAAGGTCCTTCTTTCCCCACCCACCGCAGTCCTTGTACATTCTAGCTCTGACTGGCCCACACTTAGCTTTCCCTGCTTTGACCTCCCCTGTCTTCTCACATTTCTGCCAACCACCACGAGTTCTTTCCCTGCTGTTAGTGACTTTTGCTTTGCTTCGCTTCATGTACCTTTGTGTACTCATAGTACTGTGGTAAAACTTTAATCATTAAAAAATTGTATTTACTGAAACAGAGTGAGAGACTTTTCTTTGTGCGTGGTGAAATCAATTTTCCTTGATTGCTCTGTTGCTTTTTCAGATTTACAAACATTTCCTTGACTGATATAACCAGAACAGAAACACTCACACTTTTAACATTTTAATAAGAAGAACCTTAAAAAATCTTCTTTACAGTGTCTGAATTTTGTTGAAAAAATATGTTGCTCATTGAATTTATTTAGGAAGCTGTGTGAGGCTTTGGTGGCATATGAAGATTGTTAAATATGTTTTTTGGTTCAGTTTAGATATGGAGCAAGGTAGACAAGGTATATGCAAACATTTGCAATAACGTGATGTGTCTTTGGAGAGTCTAGTCTCTCGGGTGGAAGGAAGTGTTTCTGGATGGAATACTCAAGGGACACTTCATGGAAGAGGAAGCCTCTCACCTGGAGTTTTCACAGGGGCCACAAAATCACATGACTCTAGGGGATTTCAGTTACATAAGGGTCTATGTGAGTAACTGCCCTAGAGTTATGCAGACCCCAACTCTGATGGTTTCACTTATATAAAGGGAACAGTAAAAAGCATTGAAGATAGGATAAAACAGAGACAGGCTAGAGTGTTGGGTTCATATAAAGTAATCATGCTAACAAATCTAGGAAAGTAGCTTTGGGTCCTATCATGGATTGACTCTAGATTTATTTATTTCTGGTGTGGTGGGGGTGCTCAGGAGGAATTAAATGCTTCTTAGGATATGAAGATGAAAAATGGTGATCATTGTATGTTTTTTAAGAAGGAAAAACTTTAAATGAGATCAGCTGTCCACTGACAGTGCTCCTATTATTATCATAATCTTATCTCTCCAGATACCAGAAGGAGGGACTGGGGACTCCGGGAGAGAACGGACCAAGACCTTCACTTACGACTTTTCTTTTTATTCTGCTGATACAAAAAGTCCAGATTATGTTTCACAAGAAATGGTAAGATATTTTCAAAATCTTTATTTTGGTTTATTTCCATATTGAGGAAAACATACCTACCCTAAAATTCTTAAAACATCTAAATAAAAAATATAATTTATGTAAAATTAGTCTTTGCTAACTTAGCTTTTTGGTGGTTATAGAGCACCATTTATCTTAAGCCTGAGAATTCAGTCCCTAAAATGCTGATATTTCTTTTAGCCTCAAAGCATGATGATCATAAGTTTGTTTTAAAACTTTGACACTACTATTTTGAAGGAGCTCTGCAAATAAATCATTTTTAGGCAGACATTTATATGCTGCTGAACTAGACAAATAAGCCACATAGCCTGGAGTCTTGCTGTGGTGCAGAGCTTTATGAGGTGGACTTCAAACACAAGTCACATCTTTCTTGCTGGAGTGGGTCATTGTAGGTTCCAGAAAGAAAGAACATTTTGTCCAAAATAATTATAGAACTTCTAGTAACATGAAACGTGGGCTGTAGGCTTTTACAGTGTGACATGGGCAGATAAGAGTAGACTCAAAGATATTCCTAGGATGCTATTGAATATTGACATTTCATGTGAGCAGAAGGACAAGGGTATTTCCATACATGGGTCAGGGAGGGTATTTGAGCCCAGTGGTGATAGGGAAGGCACTAGTGTTGGGGGAAGAACATGGGTTTCATGGCTGGGCCTCCTCTTGGCCTGTCTGTTACTGCTTCAGGTCTTCATGAGTTTAAATAAGGATAAGAATTCCGGCATGTCCTGGGTTGTAATCCATGCAATGGCATCTCGTCTGGTTTGTTGCAATTAGATGTATCCACATACTTAAATAAATCATCGACACTGTCTGGGAATGTGCAGAAATGCAGAATCTCAGGACCTCTCCCTGATCTGCTGAATCTGAAATTGCACTTTTTACCATGATCCCCAAGTTATTTACATGTACCTTAACATTTCAGAAATTTAGTTGGTTTAGAAATGGATTGTGGAAAAGATTGGTTTTCTGGGGCAATGTAAATGTTGGCATAAGATAGGTTATGGAGCAGCACCACCGACGCTGGCCTTGGGGGTGACGGCCACGGGCAAACTTTCTAGTGGCTTCAGCTGTGGAGGTGGCTGCGGCAGCGGGCTCTGTCCACTAGCAAGTTATCGTGGGGAGCTAGTGGCTTTGGCTTGGAGCAGCTGTTGTCCTCTGCCCTTCACTGCTCTGCAGAGGATCAGCTGCGAGACTGGGATTGTTGACTGCTGTGAGGACCAGCATGGGATCTCTGGGCACCATCTACACACAGTAGATCTGGTATTTATTGGCGCTATATCCTGGGTAAAGAAAAGAATTCAGAGATGGCTGCAAGGTAGGTGGGAGTGGAGCCCAGTTCTCCCTGTGCCCAGCTGGAACACCTAGCTGATCTTTCGAGGAACAGAGTGAACAGCCAACGGAATCCCAGCTTGTATGAAGTTTGGAGGCAAAAAGTTTCAGAGGGCATTGAAAAACCTATGGTGAGGAGATTACCTGGGATGGTAAGATCCCTGAGATCTGCACCAGGATCCAGGCTGCTGCTCTCCTGCCAGCTCCTGCTGCAGGATATCGGGAGGAGAGTTAGATCAACAGTTCCCTTCCCTACCAGAGCAGGAGGGCAGCCTGGCACCAGGAGGGACCTGGATGCTGGAAGTCCCTGCAGGGAAGAGAGGTGAAGTGGGAGACTCACAGAGGTGGTATACACCTGCTAGGACTGTGGACTTGGCACCAGAGAATTGGGGGAGCCAGCCAACACCTGGAGAAAAGAGGAGCCGGGCCGTGTCGGACCCTGACGTGGATAGTCTACTGACCGGTTGGAAAGGGGGGCTGTGTGAAAAGCCGCGTGCTTGTTGGGAGCTGTGGGCAGCTGCTTTGTAAGGAACTCTCAGCAGTGGCTGGTGTGCACCAGGGTGATTTTAGCTCCACACGCCCAGAGTGAATGGCTGAGGGGAATGCTGCATTTTATTGTGTATGTGTATTATTTTTATCTCGTCATTACTTTTTACCACTTTTATTTTATTAGTGTTTTTTTCTTTTCCTTATATTTAGTTTTCCTTGTTTTATTTCCCTGTTTAATCACATTGATTGGTTTTTCTTATTCTCTCTGTCTTGTATTTTAATTTTCCTCCTTTTACTTAACCTGTATGCCAATAACACACAACTCTTTGATCGGGTACTTTCTATTCTGGTTATCCAAATCTTGTATTTCTTATCATATTGTTGTTGTTCCAGCACTATTGTAAATAATTGTTGTTCTATACAGTTGTACATACTACAAAGCAACTCTCCATGATCTCAGCCCACTTCACTTTAATCCTGAGCATTATTATTGTTGTGATTAACTCTATTCTCTCTTACACTGCTCTACTTTCTATACTTTAATCTCACTATATCTCATCCTCTAAACTTGCACAAGTGCTCCGTTTTCTGGATTCAGTTCACAATCCTCTTCTCCTCTAAAAAGAGTGTTATTTCTCTTTCACCTTTTATAAAAAGTGGCTAATTGGGTGAAATATCACAGTTAATGCTATACTTACCCAAAGAATCTCCTATCTCCTCTCTACTTGCTGGTACTTAAAATCCCTTAAAATACTTTCCTGCTGTCTTAATCCATTCTGCTTGCCCCCTGCCACTGATCACATACAAGAATAGGTGGGAGCTGTGAGCATCAGTATACCTGCTTGAGGAGAAAAACCACCAATAAATGAACCACCGAAAGGTAAAAACCCAAGTACAACAAGAGAGCCCACACAAACAGAAGAAAGGGCAAACCTAGAGCATCCAGTCAAGGAGATCAGAGATCACACCACTGAACCTCATAGAATTCCTACCATAGAAGTTCACCCTACAAAGACAGCTGACAAAGTGAAACAGCAGGAAGCACAGAAACAAACAGAAAGAGTCACCTAAAATGGAGAGACAAGAAAAGAACATGCAATAAAAAGAAATGGAAGACTCCCCACTAAAACAGAAAATGAAGGTAACCAAACTATCAGATATAGAATTCAAATTAATGGTTATAAAGATGTTCAAGGAGCTCAGAGACAATTACAAGGAACTGAGTGAGAACTACATCAGCATGAAAAAGGAAATAGAAACTATAAGCAAAAAACAGAAAGAAATGAACAGTAAAATCTCAGAAATAAAATATACACTAAAAGGAATTACAAGCAGGCTGGATGAAGCAGAGGATTGAATAAGTAAGTTAGAGGACAAGGTAGAAAAAAAACACTCAGAGCAGGAAAAAGAAAAGAGACTCAGAAAGAATGAACAGGTGGTAAGGGAACTGTAAGACAACATGAAACGTAACAGTGTCTGTATAATAGGGACACCAGAAGGAGAAGAAGAAGAGCAAGGAATGGAAAACCTGTATGAAAAAGTAACGATGGAAAACTTCCCTACTTTGATGAGAGAAAAAGTTACACAAATCAAGGAAACACAGAGAGTCCCAATCAAGAGGAACCCAAAGAGGCCCACTGCAAGACACATCATCATCAAAATGGTAAAATTCCAAGACAAAGAATCTTAAAGGCCACAAGGGAGAAACATGAAGTAACATACAAGGGAGCCTTGATAAGGCTAGCAGCCGAGTTCTCAATGGAAACACTCCAAGCCAGAGGAGAATAGCAAGAAATATTCTAGGTAATGAAAGTCAGAGGCCTGCAACCAAGCTTATTCCATCCAGCAAGATTCTCAATTAAAATGGAAGGCCAAATAAGAATCTACCCAGACAAAAGAAGTATAAAAGAATACACCTCCACCACACCAGCTCTGCAAGAGATGCTAAAGGGATGCCTTTAAGAAAAGGAAAAGAGTGAGAGAGAGAAGAACACAGGTACAAAAAATGGCAATGAATACTGTATTTTTTGGACTATAAGATGCACTTTTTTACCATATTTTAAAAAAGACTTTACTTATTTATTTATTTTTAGATAGAGGGGGAAGGGAAGGAGAAAGAGAGGGAGAGAAACGTCACTGTGTGGTTGCCTTTTCTGCACCCCTTACTGAGGACCTGGCCTGCAACCCAGGCATGTGCCCTGATGGGGAATTGAATGGCAACCCTATGGTTCACAGATCTATGCTCAATCCACTGAGCCACACCAGCCAGGGCGTTTTTACCACATTTTTTTGCTTCAAAAATTTTTTTTCCTGTTTTCCTCCTCTAAAACCTAGGTGTGTCTGCAAAATAGATGCACCCTAGGTTTTAGAGGAGGAAAAGATGAAAAAAATTTTGAAGCAAAGAATGTGGTAAAAAAGTACATCTTACAGTCTGAAAAATGTGGTAAGTACCTATCAGCAATCACCTTAAATGTAAATGGATTAAATGCTCCAATCAGAAGACATAGAGTAGCTGAATGGATAAGAAAGCATGACCCACACATATACTGCCTATAGGAGACCCAACTCAGAACAAAAGACCTACACAGACTGAAAGTGAAGGGCCGGAAACAAATAGTCCAAGCAAACAGACAGGAAAAAAAAATCCAGGCTAGCAATATTCATATCAGACAAAATAGACTTCAAAAAAGGAGCCATACAAAGAGACCCAGAAGGTCACTTCATAATACTCAAGGGAAGAAACCATCAAGAAGACATAAACATTGTAAATATATATGCACCCAACATAGCAGCACCCAAATACATAAAGAAAATTTTGGAGGACTTCAAGAAAGGTATTGACAACAGCACAATTATAGTAGGGGATTTCAGCACCCCACTGTCAAAATGGATAGATCTTCCAACAAAACATCAACAAAGATATTGCAGCATTGAACAATACCCTAGATCAAATGAACTGAACTGATATATATATATATATATATATATATATATATATATATATATATATATATAGTGCCTTTCATCCCAAAGAAGCAAAATTCACATTTTTTTCAAATGCACATGGAACATTTTCAGAGATAGACCACATGATAGGTCACAAAACAAACCTCAACAAATTCAACAAAATCGAAATCATATCAACATTTTCTCTGACCACA